CAAAAAAATGCGACACGGACGGCGCGCGAGCGGAGGTCCCGGCCTTCGCGGTGGGAACCGGATCGAACAAGGAGTCGCCACCAAGATTTTGAGGTAAATCTTGGGAAACCATTTAAAAGGAGGATAAGGGTGGTCTGCAAAATCAGAGAATGGGTTCAGGAGTCGATTGAGTGTGGGGAAGGTGTTAGGCACCCCACAACACCCATTCGTCAGAACGATTACCAAAAGTTTACTGTCCTTTATTAATATGATTTTATAATTATTTTAATTATCCTTTTTATATTTATGTGTTAAAAAAATAAGAATTAAGTGAGAAATATTTATTTATTTACGAAGGGGGACAGACTTGACTCAGAATCTGACTCTGAGGCCTACGTACCCTGTGATAGGGATCAAAGTCCATGTAGTTCGAGCTTGAAAGTTTGTTGGGGAAAATATTTTTTGAAAAGAAATTAATTAGAAATAATTTACCATTTTGCAAATAAAACAACTTTTAAAATTTTGATATGTGTGTTTTAAATTGCAAAAGGTAACTTAATTTTAATTATTTTTTTCATTTTTGAATTTTTGGAATAAAGAAAGGAAAAGAGTTTAAAATTATTTTTCTTTATGTTTTATAATTGAGAATTTTAATTGCAGTACCTGCAGAACCTTATTGGTTCATATGATAATGCAATTGCTATAAATATCTGCGAAAATTTTGAAATCTCATACAATAAAAGAGTTTAGAAATTTAATTTATTTATTTATATTCTTATGTACATTTTTAAGTGTTAATAATAATAATTTTTATCATGTAGATACATGTTTTGAAGAATTTTAATCAACATACCTGTAAAGCCTTATTGACTTATATGGTAATATGATTATCCTAAATATCTGCGGAGATTTTAAATCTCACACGATAAAAGAATTAAATATAAATACATCTTTATTTTAATTAATTTAATTTATAATTTATATATTTTAAAAAGCTTAATTGTTAGATCTGCAGAGTCTTATTGACTCATACGATAATACGATTATTTTAAAAGTCTGCAAAAATTCAAAAATCTCACATGACTGAGAGATATAATTGGTGAATATGGTTACAATTTAAATGCATTAACTTAGTTAATTAATCTTCTAAATTGGGTATTATATGATTGTTTACAAAAATTATTTATTTATTATAAAAATTAAAAATCACTATATCTGTGAGGACTTATTGTCTCACATGATAATGTGATTAATTTAAGTCCTTACGAAAATTCTTGAAGTCTCACATGGAACTTAAATAAATTACTTAGATTAAAAAAATAGTTAATTTTAACGGTGGGTCATTAAAACTATTAATTATACATATAAATTGGATCTCTATTCTTATGAAATCTTATTAATTTACACGAAATGAGACCACTTTAAATGTCTGCAAAAATTTTTAAAATCTCACATGACAAGTAAATGATTAGAGATAAATTTTCTCTTATTCATTTCATTTTTTTTAAATTGGGTAAGAATCGAATTCTCTCCCCTCTGCCTTTTATAAAATAGGCTTGTCATAATAAATGAAATCGTACATGTAATCGTGATGGAGAATGCTATATGATATGAGTGTAGCAATATTATTGACAAGTAAAGGACCTTAGGACTAATGGAGATAAAAAAAATCATGCTCATACATATTAATATACCCTTTCATGCTAAAAAAACATTTAAAGACCTTGCTTAATAATTACAGTAATTCTCTATTTGAAATGAGGTTGTGCCTAAAATCAAATTTAGCTTAGCTATGATAGCAAGCAAAAATTATTATTTGCAATTTCTTTATCCTTCTTTTTCACACTCCCTTTTTTAAAAATATGACAATTACAATGAAAATCATTTGGGAACTGAAAAATATGGGACAAAATATTTAAACATGAAATCTATTTTTTGGAATAATAAATAGAAATTAAACATGTGTATTTCAGATTCAGAAGCAAGAACCTGTGTGTATAGGACGTCCTAGATTTGTCTCACTACTCTTGTCACTTATCCCTCTCTGATCTCGATCTGTTCTTCCCCTTCTTCGTTTTCTTTGTTTTTAAAAAATTCTCCTTCACGTCTCAGTCTCCTCTTTCTCCTCTCTGTCTTTGTTTCTTCTTTCTCCTCTCCGTCTCCTTTGTTCTTCTTTTTTAAGAAAACTCTCCGATGCTGGTTTCTCGGCTGACTCCGTTTCTTCTCTCTTCATCTCTGTTTCTTTCTCTCTCAACCTCTCTCTTCTCCTTTAGTTCTTTCGTGCTCTGTTTTTTGCTTCTTCCGTGTGTATGTTTCTCCTTACTTTTCTCCAGCAAAAACTGCCCTTGTCTCTGTTTCACGTTCGGTCTTATATAGGGGATGGAAGAGGTGAATCATTGCTCTCCTGCTTTGCTTCTTTCTTTCTGCTGCATTTTCTGTGTGCGCCGAAGTCTCTCTACTCTGTTTTTCTTTCTTTTGTGTATGAGTGCTACATTTCTTCATTTCTACCTCTGTCTCTTCTCCTTTTTTTCTGTGTTATTTCGTCTTTGTTTTCTGCATTTCTATCTCTATTTCTTCTCATTTTTTCTATGCTGTCCCATCTGCTTTCTCTACTGTGCCATCTCCTGCATGCGTGCATGCATCCTTGGTTCTGTTTCTTTTCTCTTGCTAGCCGAAAGCATATGCGTACGTGTTCTGGTTGCTTGCTGTTCTTTCTGCTCTGTTTTGCTTCTTCTGCATTTTATGTCTGTTGTCTCTTTCTACATTGTTGTGTTCGTGTGTTCCTTCTGCTTTCTGCATACTGTGCTTAACTGAGTGTCTCTGGTTCTTTCAACGTCTGCAGCTCAAGTTTCTTCATGTGTTCATGTGTCCTGCTGTTTCCTCCTTTTCCTGCTGCATGGCCGAAAAAGTGTGTGTGTGTGTGTATGTGTATTTCATGTGTCCTGATACTGCATGTATCTGTTCCTTCTTCTTCTTTTTTCTTTCTTTTTTTTATTTTTCAATGACTCTTTTTTTTTTAATTAGATTGAGGGAGAGAAAGAAAATTTTAATTTTAAAACATATATTTTTAAATGAAAAACAAAAGATTTAAGGAGAGAAGTTTAAGAATAGTTGAGTTTCAAAAATTGATTCCCAATATCTTTGAATTCTTTTTTTGAAAATATAATCCTAAAAAAAGGATTAAATTTTATTTTTGTATTTATTATATTTTTTGATTATTTATTATAAAAAAAGAGTCCGGACAAAATACGGTGTTCACACCTATGATCATGCTTTTCAAACTATTCATAGGTTCTCAATCACTACTTTACTCATATATACACATATACACATTTCTATATCAAATTAAACAATTTCATTACTTATTTAACCAAATTTTTTTTTATGCAATAAACATTCAATGCTACAAAACATGCTCAGTTCAAAACAATTTCATGCTACATAGCATACTCACACACAGTTACAACAAATAGTCAAAAAAAGAAAGTTATTTGGTTACCTCAACCCTTCTATTACTGGAAAGATTACCTATGAATTTCAACAACCACAATAGCTCGTCACAAGCTTCCTTTCTCAACTCACATGCACGATATACCAATCTACACACAATTAGCATAATTTAGTCAATTGATCCAATTTAACTAAAAGTACACAACTACTACCTATGGCTATACTTAGCCGTCTACTCTTTTTCATTTATCCATTATAGGTCCATTACTACTCGATTACCACTTTACATCACCTCAATTGGTCTCATTTCACTCAAACATGATTTTCACCCTACTTCCCTCTTGATTTTAGGTCAAATTGAGCCTATGGATTCAAAACTCTATCATTCAGCTCTAAACCAGTCACAAAGCTCTAATTTAACTCCCAATAACCTTTTTATTACTACTGGGCAAGAATCAAATCCCTCAAATTTTACCAATTCAATTTCTCTATAACTCATATTCAAAGAAATTTGGGTAGAATGGAAGATAGGGTTATATGTAGCTTATCTGATAAGTTACTAATTAGAGATGCCTTCTAATGCTCTAAAATCTCTTGCCTTAGCACACCACAGCTTCCTCTCCTCTCCTTCTCATGTGTTTTTGACTTTTCCTTCTAAACTTCACCCAAATTTCACAAATTATGGGGTCATTTTCTAATCCATGCACTGCGGTGCGTGGTACAGTGAGAAGAATTCTTAGCGCACACACTTGCTTCAACTCAAAACGCAATCCTCTCACCTGTATATGTTCATTTAACATCCCAATGAGTCAAATCATCACATTATCACTCAAAAACTTAATCACTTTACAATTATCAATTTACCCCTAATTAATAACTAATCACAAGATTAGGAAATCAGAATGTTACAACAGTTATCTTGACCTATTACTATCATAAGCCACCACCATTAACCAGCGACAACCATCACTATCGACTGATTTTTAAATTAATACAACCAAACAAATTTTCTTTTTATTTTGTTTTGAAACATATATAAAAGTTATACTGCAAAACAATTTTAAAAGTTATATTGGAAAAAAAATTTTAAAAACAAAAAATGAAAACAAAAACCAAACATGACCTAAAATAAGCACTCTATTCAAAAAATAAAGTTATTAAAAATAATAACGTATAATATTTTATTTGATTGAATTGATTTGATATGGAATTTCTGCATTTTTCATTATGTTTTGCCAGTTATTTTTCCTTTTTTCCTCTTTACATTTCAGAATTATTTTCTTGGATTTTATTCTAAAGATTTTTTTTCCTTCAACTTGGTTTCATTTTCACTGACTTTTGTTTTTGTTTTTGTTTTTTTTTTGTTTTTATTTTGTTTTTTTTTTTTTTTGCCTTCACCATTGTCCATCCGCTTCTATTTATCTCACCCAGTGACGTAAGTCTGCAACTAATAATGACAATGATAATCATTCCACTGTAATAATTAATAATATCAATCAAGTTGATCCTATCATGCATCTATATAACAACACCATGGATAACCTCTCGTAAGCTCTCACAAGCATACCCATCTTGAGGGTTCTTCATTCATCACTTATTTTCCCACACATGTATTCCCAAGCTCTAAACAGGTACGTGCATACATAAATAAATATATATATATATATATATATATTCTTCTGCTTCAAGCTCAAAATTTTCTTCTCCCCCATAAAAACCAACCCAACAACACTATCTTCCTTTCTTTCTTCATGTATCTTCTTTGATATATATATATATATATATATGTTTCATGCTTTCTGGGGTTTTGTGGTACAGAAAGGTTGATAGGTAGGATTCTGAGAAATTAAACAAGAAAACAAATGGGTTCTCACAACGCAGAAGAAGAGAGTAGTATTATAGAGCAGCCATTGTTGAAGAAGGAGTATCATGAGAACTGTCCAGGTTGTAAGGTGGATAAAGCCAAAGAGACCAATAGAGGAGTGCCTGTCCGCCATCTTTTCACTATATGGATGGTTGTGTTATGCACCAGTAAGTATATATAACTCACGAACTGTTAGTATTCATTAATTTGTTTCTTATTGCTTTGTTTTTTTCCCCCCAAAACGGATCAGTTTTGAGTCCTGATTTAGGTCACTAACAGTTTTCAGTTTGTGTTCCGAATATATCATTGAAAGGAATTGACAAGATTGAGCTAACAAGACTGAACTTGGCTAGCTCGCTTCAGTACTACAATGTGCAACATTTTCTACAAGCTATTTGTTACATCCCACGTGGAATAGATTTGGAGAGGGCTTTGGTCGTATAAGCCAGCATAATATACATCTTGTTGAGCTAGCATTTTAGGGAGAGAGTAATGGTGTCATGATAAAGTAGTATCAAAACTTGCCACAAGTGACGGAGGTATCACAGATTGGCCGAAAAAGTTATTACATTCCACATCAGACAGACTTGAATGGGAAGGATTATGGGCATATAAGTGGGTGCTACACACCCTATTAAGCTAGTTTTTTAGGAGAGAGTAATAGCTTGAATTATTGCTCATAAAAAAGTATAGGATATTTTGTGTTTTTAATTGAGAAATATCTTTCCTTTTTTACCTCTATATTTGTTAATTAATGTGCATTGAGTAATCAAGCATAGAAAATTATGAGTGTTAGTTGTATGCAAGGGGAAAATAAGAAAAATAAGAATTTTTCATGAGATTTAGGGGAAAAATTGAATTTCCCTAATATGTTTGATACAAGTCGGAAGTGTCAAGTATTATGAAACGAAGAAAGTATTATTTTGGTCACATGGTTCTGATTTAGCAAGTTTAAATTTAAAATGGGGTACCACTTTTGGAGTACATTACGCAAATTCTTTTTTTATTTAACCTTAGTAAAACTAATTATATAAACCTTAGTTTAATTTTACTTTCATACTCAATATGAAAATAGAAGGGAGATTTGTGAAACTTTATCAATTTTTTTGCAAGTATGTGTAATTTATTCTTAGTTTTTAATTATAGGAGAGATTGTTTTAAATTTGAAAAATTGAAGTGATGCATGTGTAAATTTGAAAAAGAAAATATTATGAAAAAATTCAAATAAAATATGTGAGCAATCTTAGCAAATTCAAACGAGGTCCCTGTAATTTATTGTTTTTTCATGTTAGATAATTTAGGAAATGGAAGAAAAATTTTCATTTTAGATAATCTATTCTTAACAACTCTCTGATGTTTTGTTTCCTGTGTTCTGTACAGCTCTGCCTATATCATCTCTCTTTCCTTTCCTCTATTTCATGGTGAGTTTCATTATATTCTTAGATTCATTGTTCTTCACATGAAGAATATTCTGATATATTCTCCAGAAATTAATATTCCTCGAAATTAGCAATCAATGCACATCAAGGGAATCTTGTTCGGATCGGTGGTCCAAGATAAAAAATGTTTTTTAATTAATTTCTATTTATTATTTTCCTTCAGGTTTATATAGTTATCAGAGATCTTTATTTTCTGCTTTCTGGAAATTAAAAACAAGGCAGTGTTGTGTGTTTCTAGGAAAGTCAATAGATATCTCATAGATGGAACGCATGTGTTTGGATAATTCCCGATGGGAAATTACAACTTTAAATCAAAAACTAACAATATAGCTTGCAACATATATTGCCAATAATAAATAACTCGTCTCTTATTTCCATAGTTTGAAAACCCAGACCAGACCGGTCGGGTCAACCCGACGACCCGGTCCCTTCTCTGGTCTGGGTTTATGACTAAACTGGTGTAAGATTGACCCGGTTTAACACGATCAACTTGGGTTCAACCCGGTATAAGCCGGCCAACCTGATGGGTTGATTGGGTTAACCGGGTTGACTTTTTTTCATGCTAAACCCCCAAAACGACATCGTTTTGGGGGCTTTTTTTTTTAAAAAAAAAAACCTACCTTGAAGAAATGAAATGACCATGATGAATATTGGTTTTAGACTTTTAGACTTTTTAATGATTAAAGGGTTGTAATTATAAGGAAGTAAGGATTGATATTTGAAGTGTTGTATTTTATTATTGTTGGATTTTTGAGTGGTTGACTTTGATTGACTTTTTATAATTAATATCTTTTTATTTAAATTATATTATTTTAATCATGACTGGTTTGTTACCGGGGTTGAACCACTAACCCGTGACCTAATGTCATGACCGATTCAATGACTGATCCAATTTTACGTACCTTGCTCATTTCTCATGAATGACAAATAATTAATTGATACTTATACATTTCAGGTAAGGGATTTCAAAATTGCTGAATCAGAGGAAGATATTGGAGGCTATGCCGGTTATGTGGGTGAGACTACTATTAAAAATAGATTATATATTGAGTATATTCAATTTCCTACCAAAAATATAAGTAGATCAAACTGACCATTGATAGATATTATATTTATTGAATCTTTTGCATGATATGCTTATATGTGTGTGTTCATAATGATTATTTTTTAAGATTAATTTGCAGGTGCTTATAATTTTTTTGAATTTTGAATCAAGTTTTTATAGTTTATTTTGTTTTAAACAAACCCTTATAATTTGATCAATTAAATATGTTAATACTTGAAGGTTAAAATTATTAATGAATAATTAAATTTTCCAAAACAAAAAAATCTTAAAATTTATAGGAAATTTAATTTAATACTTTTGACAAAAATGAAAAGAAAAATTTGATTTAATACAATATTTACGTTTTTATTGAATTTTTTAAGAAAACTCTATGGGTATAATATTTTATGTAAAAGACATAATCCGATTATATAAATTTTAACTTATATAAGTTACTTAGTTAATTATAAAGTTGTATAATCTTTTAATACAAATAAAAAAGTTCACAATTTTATTTTTTAAAATGAAAAATTTAAAGATTTTAACTTTTTAAAATATATATTAATCAAAATATAAGGATTTAATTAAATAAAATAAATTATAGAGATCTAATTCAAAATTTAAAACACAAGAATAATTTACAGATTAATTTTTCTTAATTAATTTAATATATATACACACTTGAATTGGATCGGGTCTCAAATGGGAAGAAGTTCTACCAACGTGATTTTTATTTTTTATTTTTATTTTTTATTTTTTTGCTTTTGAATCTTGAAAACTTTATATATTAACTGCAGAAACCGAACGAGAATCCAAACAAAGGAAACAAACAACAGGAACACAAACGAACATAATTAAACAAACAACATGAATTCTTTTTAATACTTTTATTATTTCATTTAATGGACTATGAAAAATTGTTGAAGGATCTGCTTTCATGCTTGGGAGATCTTTGACATCAGTAGTGTGGGGAATGATATCGGATCGATATGGTCGAAAACCTGTCATAATCATAGGGGTTTTGACAGTGTAAGTATATTTTATATATCTCTGAGATTAATCAAACTTTTGTTTCACATATGCTCTAATAATTCATGGTTTATTAATAATAATATATACGACGATGCTGACTTTTTTTAACTGAGTTTCTTTATATATAGTGTCATTTTCAACACACTGTTTGGCCTTAGCACGAGCTTTTGGATGGCTGTTATTATGAGATTTCTTCTTGGAGGCTTAAATGGCTTGCTTGGACCAATGAAGGTACCAATTCCACAGAAAGTTTCTGCCTTTAGGTTATCTGCAATAATGTATCATAATTATTTTACAGTTTAAAAAAAAATTAGTTGAAATCTCAACCTCTTCAAATTTTTTTTTTTTACATTTTTCTAATTATACACTCATTAAATATCCTATATAAATTATTTAAAAATGATAATTGAAATTTCAGTGCCTTTTTTTTAAAAAAAAACAGAGAGAGTAATAAATGAAGTAGGAGTATAGTTAAAAAAATAATTATAAAAATTACATGATATCTTATATTTTGAACCAAATAGGGATTTCTAGAGGATATCCTATTTTGTGGTTTGAAGGGAGTAAAAACTGTTTGTTTAGTTTCTTTTTTTTTTTGCCCAAAAAAAATTAATTGTTTAGTTACTTTGTGCATTTCCCTATAATTATGCCCTCAATTTTTAATTTGACCTACGTAGTTTACAAGTTTTCAAACGTAAGTTTAATATTTAGGAAAATTACATATAATTTCCATATAAGAAAATTAATTACATAGGCCCCAACCACTTGTTAATTCTAAAACTTGACATATAAATATTGAAATTTAACTTAAGCTGAAAAAATTAATTTTCTTATTTGGACCATGACTGTAATTTTTCAATAATATTTCATCTACAAGAGGAAAAATAGAAAAGTTTAAAACTTTCGTTTCTGATTAACATTGAATCTGTCTGATGGATTGATGCTAAACATGCGCGCGCGCGCGCGTGATGTGCTAATCTTGTCTGAATTATGATCAGGCTTATGCTACTGAAATTTTCCGAGAAGAGCATCAATCGCTAGGACTCTCAACTGTATGCCTCTATTTTTATTATCATTTCTTGATGTGTGTGTGTGTGTGTGTGTCATCATATATAACTGACAATTTAAATGTTTAATCTGATTTCAGGTGAGTGCATCTTGGGGCATAGGTTTAATTATTGGCCCAGCATTGGGAGGTTATTTGGCTCAGGTGCTCTCTAATTTCTTTGCCTCATAAACTTCATTAAATTTGGGTATAGATTTAGAAGTATGGTAGGCTGGAACTCTATTTTTTGAAATAGAGGAAATTATAGAAATATGAGATTTCCTTCTTCAATAAATAAATAATTTTTTTAAAAAATCATATCATAAGCTATGCCTATTAAAGTAGTCCAAGTTTAAAAATCCGGATCAAACTTCCTGATTAAATAGGTAAACTAATATAATTCTTTATTGATGGAACAGTTTGATTATACTTTGACTATGATTTTTATCATTAATATTTGAACTAATATTTTAATCAGTTTAGTAACTCAGTACCTTAGTTCGAAGTCCAAAAAAATGATAAATATAAATGATTTGGTTGAAAGGTGTTGTGGGCCAAGACAGGTCTAGCAATTTCCCGCATCAATGTCCGATACAGTGAAGAGATTGGCTGGGTCCATACTGTTCGGACTGGGCCCACTAGATTAATTTTTAGGAAGAATGATAATAAAGTCATGAAAGAATGAATTACTGATAATTCCTTCATAAAAATTTTTGTAAAATAAATTATAAATATTAATTTAAATATTTTTATTAAATTTAAATTTCAAAAAATTATTATATTCATAATTTAAATATCATATTTGCAATTGAAATTTATAAATTTACAACTGTTTAAATTAATATTTACAATTATTTTTAAAAAAATTTTGGGAGCCTAACTATTATTAATTTACTCTCTTGAGACTTAACTGTCATTCTTCCTAATATTTATTTATAATTGGTTTGGTCTACTTGTCTCTCTGTTGCCCTGTTTCTGATATTGTGAGAGGGAATGTGATGGAGGAAGTATTGCTTAAATCTAATGTCTATTATATGCTCTTTATCATTCTTCCATAAACATTAATATTAGGGAGAATGATAATAAATTCCTATATGATCAAATTAATCATAGTTAATTTCTCATAAAATTTTATAAAATATGAGTTATGAAAATTAATTTAAATAGTTACAAACAGAAATCTGATTCACAAATTGAAAGTTGTATTTTGAATTTAAATGTCTTATTTGCAATTAAAATTCTTGAATTTATAATTATTTAAATTGATATTTGTAATTTATATTTAAAAGGGTCTAATTATCATTAATTTGTTCTTTTGAAACTTAACTGTTATTCTCCCTTAATATTATTTGATTATTTTTATTGATTTTCTGAATTTGGAGCATGAGGTTTATTTTTCACCGGTGGAATCACTTTCTTATTCTCTTTCCCTCTTCACTCCCTCTCATTGTATACACTAAACGAAGCTTAAATGTGTGCATATTTGAACCTTGTTTCTCTAATTTTTTTTTCCCTTTTGTTTTTGGGAATTTTGAATTTCAGCCAGTAGAGAAATATCCAAATATATTTCCCAAAAACTCCTTTTGGGATAAGTAAGTGCAACATACTTTTTTATTTCATGAAACAATATCGGCTTTCTTCTTCTATTTAGTTATATATATATATATATATATATTTCTCCATTTAAATGTTTTGCAGGTTTCCATACTTCTTGCCCTGCTTCATAATCTCAGTTTTTGCACTAGCAGTGATGTTTGGCAGCATTTGGATCCCTGTATGTATATATCTTGATATCCTCAATATCAGTTGATCAATATTAATCATATTTATATCTCTCTTATTTTTAATACCCTAGTAACTTCAAATACTAAACCTTTATCTACCATAACATGGATATGCCTCTTTTGAGTGTAAACATAAATGACATAAAAAAGACAACTATACTATACACTATGTTAAAAATCACTTTTGTTAATATAATTGTTCCCACACTTTTTCAAATAACGTGGAAAGTTGCACTTCAAGACCCTGGACATATTACACATAAAGACCCTAATGTGATTAATATTCAGATAAGCCCTCTTTGCTTGGATTTTTTGGCCTAATCCATCATGGCTGGATAAGAGAATACAGATTTGACATATCTCTCTGATTTTTGTTTTTTTTGTTTTTGGCTACTATAATATCTAGGACTAAGTAGGTAATTCGAGCAAAGCCCAAAATCACTCAAAAAAATTTAGGGTCAAGCTTAATAAAAAAGATAATAGTTTTTTTATGCTCAATCAAATAGGCCCAAAAAAATCAAGCTAAGCCTGATCAGATTTGAGGTTGGCCCTGAATACTAGAATAAAAAAATTATATTTTAAAAAATATATAAAATATAATAAATACTAATTACTTCTTTAAATTTTAGGACATTTTATACTAAAATACTATATATTTGGATGCATTATTATAACTATTTAAAAAAATAAAAAATATTTATATTGTCATATTTTTATTATTTTTAATGTATAAGATATCTCAAACTAATATTTAAAATATATTTTAATATTAATTTTTAGATTTTAAGGTCCATATATTTTTTTAAAAAAATTAAGTCCTATACGTCATTTAAGTATTTAAAAAATATATTTCATATTTTTTATAAAATAAAATAATTAATTTTAAAATAAAAGATTTGATTAAAAATAATTTTAAAAACAAATTTCAGGTCTTACTTGGCCATTCAGGCCTTTCAAAAAGTCAGGATCCTCTGTTAAATTCCGGAGTGTAATAGGACCTAGGTTCTTCAAATTATCTCTCGTCTTTGACTGACATATAGACTATTTTGATACGTCTTATTAACAATAAAAGCTAGTTTTTTAAGGCTTATAAAAAAAAAAAAAGGCTAGCTTTTAACGTAGTAGTATTGGATTTATCTTACAAAGATTATCTGGAACACTGCAGGAAACCCTACACAACCATATAGTTGGTGATGATTCTACTGATGAAACTGAAGCTTTAGAGAATGGAAGCAGTGAAGCTAATAACAAAGACAAGAGAAACCAAAAGGAAGAAAATCTTCTCATGAATTGGCCTTTGATGTCATCTATCATTGCTTACTGTGTTTTCTCACTTCATGATATTGCTTTTCAAGAGGTAATTAACTTCTCTGCTTAATTAGTGTGATGTTAAAAATTATTGGTTTTTTTGAATCTTAATTAAAATATATCTGTTCATTCTGTTGTGCAGAAACTAATTTTGAATGCTTTCTTTTTTTTTTTTTCCAGGTTTTCTCATTATGGGCTGTGAGTCCGAAAAGGCTTGGAGGTTTGACATTTTCAACTGATGATGTTGGTGATGTTCTTGCAATATCTGGTACATAGTCTATCACTGCTATCAACATAATGTGTTTCACATAAAAGTTTCCTTATTGGAAACAAAATATGTTAGGTAGGGATGAAAGTGGAAACAAAATATTTTGCTTTGTGATATTTGGCAAGAGAAAAAGAGGAGGATTATTGAAAATAAGCAAAAAAGACTAAATTGCCCCTCTTATCACTTGGAATGGGCAATTTTGACTTTTTATAAATAATTTCATGGTGTAACGGTAATTTTTTTCCCCTCATTTCAACTATGAAAATTGAAAACCAATTAGGCGTTGTAAGTTTTGTTGAAATCCTACATTGTCTCTCCTTTTCCGTATGCATGCCAAGAAATCCCTAATCTTTTCATGGTGCATAGTAATTTTATTTTAAACCAAACAAGTCCCATTATATTTTTGCACACAATTGGATTTCCATTATACTTTTTATGCACGTTATTATTTAACTCCATACTTTCTTTTTGCCTTTCATTTGGATTGGGGGAAAAAAAGAAGTTATGGAGGAAGGAAAATGAGGGGAAAAACTTCTAAAAATGGTAAAAAAAAAATTATTTTTGTAAATTTCTTCATATTTTCTTTTCACTTTTCCTTACATCCAAACTAATCTTTAAAGTAGGGATACAATAGAGTCTTGTTTGTTTGATACTCAAGTGAGACCTCAAGACACTTTAAGTATATGTTTGATACACAAAAGAGTGTTTTCCAAAAAAAAAAAATGAATAATGTATCTAGAAATACAATGAGATGGACTTGGGTTCACTCATCCTGAGAGGAGCCTCCTCTACACCAACCCCAAATCTAGATCGTCAGATTTAATTTGGATGGTCGAAATTTAATGTTTTATTTTATATTTTTATTAAAATATAAATTATGAAAATTATAAAAAAATTAATAAATCTGATCAATAATTTAGACGGTCTAGATTTAATATTAATCATATTTAATATTTAATTTTTTTTATAAATTGACTATTCGAATAGATATACTCTAAGAAATGCAAGTTTAATATAAACAGTCTAAATTTAATATTAAAAATTTTTATAAATTGACTATCTAAATATTCTCTAGACAATATAGATATCTACTAACAAACATTTTTAAAACAATATTTTTTTAAAAAAATTACAAGTTAAATATTTTACATCTAAAGTCTACGTCTGAACAATCAATTTATAAAATTATAAAAAAATTAAATATTCAATATGGACCATTAATATTAAAAACAGAATGTCCAGATCTCTGACCAGATTTATTAAAAAAAATTATAATTTTTTTATTTTAATAAAAGTAAAAAATAAAATATTAAATTTGGACTGTCCATAAACTAAATATGAACAGTCCAAATTTGAGACTGGTGCAAAAGAGGCTCCTCCTAGAAGGGGCAAAGCGGAGTCCAAATGAGATAGATATATTTATCATTTTCTTTCTAATAGAAAAACACTTTTCCATCTACTAAACATTGCATAAGTCTTTTTAGTGTGGCTGTGACGTTTCATTGATATCTATGTCAAGTTTTTTGCTTGTACTTTTAAGCTTATATAATAAACATGCTGGGTGGTTAGCTACTAACTTTTTCTTTTTCCTTTTTTCCCCTGGACAAAAAGAAAATCTGCTAACCTTTTTTTTTTTTTTTTTCCTTTTTCCTATCAGGTGTGGCATTAATCATCTATCAACTCACTCTATACCCGTCTGTGGAGAGAATTTGTGGACCTCTCAGTATAGCTCGGATATCGGCGGTTAGCTTTACTGAACACTGCAATATTCTATGAAGTACCAATACATGCATCAAATATTGCAGCATGAACACATTGAATTTCACTTACAAACTGCATATCATGCCGTGACATGTTTCATATTTGTCTGAGAATTATTAGGTCATCAAAATTAATTTTTGATACAGCATTCTAGTACATTTTTTTTTGGAAAAATATGCTTAGATCTCACAGAAGAGAATTTATCATCAAGAGGTCTCATAAATTCATAAAATATTCTCAAATCTTAAATCTTACGCATTTACAACTAAGCAATGAGTATTTATAATTTGCAAAGAAAAATGATAACTTGTAATAGTAAGTTGTAAATGCCCTTGGTTAAATTACAAAGGTGCAAGATTTGGAATTTGAAAGTATTTTGTAAATTTTATATGACCCATTGATAATAAATTCTCTCTTGTGAGATCTAGATATAATTTTTTATTTTTTTCTTTTTGATTATATGCTTTTATTTTGGACATCAATTGCAGGCTCTATCCATACCATTGTTGCAAAGCTTCCCCTACATAGCAATGTTGTCAGGCTTCACACTGTACTTAGTACTAAACGTTGCTTCTATTGCAAAGAATCTCCTCTCTGTAAGTACAATTTTAAAAAATAAATTAACAAATCATGAGTGATCAACATGGTAGGTCCAAAATGTTATTGCAAATAAAATTGTGAGATTAGAAGCATACATGTTAGTTGTACTTATTAGGATCTTTATCCGAGCAAACGGGGTTACACAAACCCGATTTTTGGTTCACAACAAATACACGATAGGAGAGAAGAGAAGGAGATTTTTGGGTTTGGTTTTCACACTGCCCTCATACATCTCACACGCATACACATGACTTCTATTGAAAAAATTGTTCCCTCCCATAGTTTAAAAACGATGAGGGAATATTGCACTTAAGAGCCTGAACATATATCACTTAAGGACATTGTTATGATTAATATGTATATAAGCCGTTAGGTTTAGATTTTGGACCTGATTCACCAAAAGTGAATAATCCAACAACAATTATTTCTTGTTTTAATATTCATGAGATTATTTTTTGTTGAAACTTGGTTCAGGCATTATAAAGTAAGGTATGCATTTTTTTTAGGTAAAACCAGTCAAGAAATTAAATTAAAACTTTTCATGTATTTTTTTCTTAATGAAAATGAAAGATGGTATCATTTCTTAGTTCTTCAAAACATGTATACTCAAGGTGGGAGAGTTTGATTCATTACATTTCAGATACATCAAAACATTTCTTTCACGTAAACTTTATTAGTTGATCATAATCATAATCACCTAATTGTATCTTCTTTGTGAGCCTAGGTGACAATCACAACTGGCTTATTCCTTCTACAAAACAGAGCAGTGGTAATATTTTTTATTTTGTTCAATAAGTTCATTGTTATCATTATTATAAATATTATTTATGTATATTGTGATATTATCTTGAAAAAAAAATGTAATGATGGGAATTTAATTTATAAGTGATGTTCATGTGAAAAAATAGGAACAACACCAAAGAGGAGCAGCAAATGGAATTTCTATGACAGGAATGTCAATATTTAAAGCAATAGGTCCTGCTGCAGGAGGAGCAATGTGAGTTTCCACTTTGTTTCTTTAACTTAATTATATTTCATAGTGTGGAAAAATAATATCAATAAAAAACCCTTGAAAGAATTTAATATTTAACAAAGACCCTAAATTAATCATATATTTGTTAAAACAATAACTTTAATTGTTAAATTCTTAATATTTACTTGTTAGAAATCTATTTAAAGATATTAAATTTCTTTCATCTTGTGGAATAGGCATGTCCTAATCTAAGTAATAAAAATTAAAGTAAAACTCTGTCTTTTTTTTATAAAAACCAGATTAAAATATTCATAATAAAACAATTAAAATACAAATGTCCCTATAGAGGCCCATGTTGTGATGTTAGTTACATTAGGAGCACCATTACTGAGCAGTGTAGAAATTCTAAACACAGAATAAATTAAGCAGAGAGACAATGCCCTCCAAAATAGAATTGGTTGCCTTCAGCTTTAGCAATGCCACAGTAATAATTTGTTTTCCTGATGCAATTGATATAATTTTTTCTTTCATTGAAATTGGCCTAGATGCAATGAAATTTGTAGAAAATGATTTAAAAACTGAAAGAATATTTACATAAAGTGGAATATTTGATTTATATATATTCTCCTGTTGAAACAGATTAACATGGTCACAGAAGAGAATGGGTGCTTCTTTCCTCCCAGGTATGATCTTTAACTAATTTGTTTGTGTTGATTGAATTTCCTCATCTAACTCAACTCTTTTTAGCCTTGGTATGGAACAGAGATGGGAAAAATTTGGGATGATGACAAGCAAGGATCTCATAAGAAGATTAATGTCAAATCGAGATTTTTTTAAAAAATATTTTTAGTACTAAAATACGGGGGAAGAAGTACTGAATTTAAAAACTTTAATTGTGAAGAGATTTTTATTTAATTTGGCATTAATTTTCTTATGAGGTCCTTACTTTTTATTTTCTTGATAAATTTCTTGCTGCTTAAAATTACTATTTATTCATTCTATGTAAACTTATTTACGCTAACAATTGTACAATTATAAATCTCTATTTTTTTGAGATTATAATTGTAAATAAATATAATTTACTCTGTTTTGAGAAGATAATGATCCAATTATAATTTGATTTGTATCAAAACTTGAAACTTATTGAAGGACATATTTACTTGCAGGTCCCCATATGGTATTCTTTGCCCTGAATTTAGTTGAAGGAATCGGACTGCTTATGATGTTCAAACCATTTCTGGGAGAGAAAAAGAAGAAACCTTCACAACAGCTATACTGATAAGACCAGATTTTGCACAAAAGGCTTGAAGCATTCTACCAAGTTCTGAGATCACACAAAAGACATAAATGCCTGCTTCTAATTGATGGAGCAATAATATGTTATATTATATATGTAACTTGAATTTTTCTTTGTCATTATGACAAATAATGATGATAATAAGAAGAAAAAGAAGATGGAGAAAAAGAAGGCAAGAAATATGGAAGAGAAACAGTCATATGCTATTGTACTATTGTTTGAGTAATCATGAAATTTAAGTTATCACTTTTTCATCTCCTTCAATCTTCTATTTTTCCAGCCCATAATTAATAGTATTTGTTTTGAGAAAATAGCAATCAAGGACTGCTGGAACAAATTTATATAAGTTAAGGACTAGTTATTATCAAAACCTGAATGGAAAACAAATCTAAATGGGTTGTTGTTAATTTAGAATTTAGAGCGAGAAGATATCAAAACCTAAATAGATATTTGTTAGTAAAAGATTAACCGAAATTAATAAATATTCATTTAAGTTTTGATAACAAGTGATCATTGAATGGTATAAATTTTTTTCTAACAAATCTTTTATTTTTCATTGTTTTATGTTCTTTGTGATTGAAACATCTAAATGACTAATTCTTAGTACTTTTGTTTCATAGTACTTTTGTTCTTTGCAATAGCTCCATTTTTAGCCCAAATTACATTACTGATGCTTTAAGTACTCTTGTTCATATTTTGTTGGTCTAATTGTCATTTGTTTTGTCAAAGTCGTTTACGCAAGCCCATTCAATACTTCTTTAATGGGAAAATTTCAGGTGGGGACTCTGAACCTAAGATAATAATAAAAAAGAGGATCCTAGAATTTTTGAAATTTTACCAAAGGACCCATGCATAATTTGTTTTAAATTTGTGACAGAAATGATAAAATTGCCTTCATTTAAATAAACAACATAAATGACTTGTTTGTTCTCATATTGTGTGTTATTGATTTATTTATCAAATGTTGTTTGTTTCCTTATTTCATTTTTTTATAGCCATAGTTTCACTTAATTTGATTTTAAGTATCAATTTCATGATAAGACAACTTGTTCGTTCTCATACATATGTTTTTCATTTACTTATAGAATATTGTTCATTCTCCTATTTCACTTGTTTATGATTCTTGAAATGAAATTAAGTAAAAGTAGGACTATCAATAAGTTAAGTAGGGAAACGAACAACATACAGTATGGAAACAAACAAATTATTTATGTTGTTTATTTAAATGGGGGTAATTTTATCATTTCTGTCACAAATTTAAAAGAAATTCTGTACAGATCCTTCAATAAACTTTCAAAAATTCTGGAGTATTCCTTTTCATTATCTTAGGTTAAGGGTTCCACCTGAAATTTCCCCCTTCTTTAATTCTTTTAACTCTTGTTCTTGTGATTGGACCACTTGAAGTCTAAAAAAGATATCTTGAAACGTCAAAAACAGATGTCTCTTTTGAAATGTTGGAAATAGCTTGCTGTTCAACTTCGTTTTTTGAAATCGCTTGCTAGATCGCATCAATTTGGAAAGAGCAAAATGAGAATATTCTTAATCACTAAGTCCCGGACACACTAGCTGTCTTGGGTTTGGCACGTTGGAGGTTATTTTAGGTTGCCTTTTCTGATAAGTTCTTGTTTGTGATAATGGTGTTAACTTGAAGATGACTTGCTGGCTAGCTCTTAGTGAGGGTGTTTTGAAGATTATTTGTGATGGTTCTTTTGTTTCAACTCCTAATTCTAATGATGATACCAATTCTACTACAGGTGGGGTTGTGTAGAGATTCTTCTAGATCTCTTTTATGGGGATTTAATGAAAGAAACTCAAGTTGGATCTGTTTTGATACCCGAAGCCGTTTTACAAAATATGGCTTTATGAACAGTGTTTTGTGTCTAGAGTCTCATGAAAACGCCTCACAGCTTGGGGAAGAGTATTATAGTATATATTGATTATAACTGTTCTTTTGTTTTATTGCCAACATATTTGGACCGTTGTAGTTGCTTTTATTCGAAATAGCCAGTGTATGAAATATTTCAAGGTCAAACATACTTTTTTTTGGGCAATACTCCATCTAAACTATAAAATAAGACCTAATCTAAAAATATAAAACATTAAATAACTTTTACTTTATTTTTCTAATTATATACCTACTTTATTTATTACTCTTTTTAAAATAATCATACATTAAAATTTTAATTATTATTATCAAGATTCTTATATAGGATATTTAATGAAGATGTAAATGAAAATATATAAATATTTTTAAGAATTTAGAGTTTTAACTAATATTATTCATAAACCATAAATTAGTTAGCTATAATTTATATTATACTTTGAAAGGAATACATAAATACACTCCATTACTATAAAACATTTTCTAAGGTTTTTATTTTATTTTACAAGCCATTGGAAGTAATAAATGTATTTATCACAATAATACCCTGAACCCATTTAAAAGCGTGCAACACTTCACCATGTAATAATATCAATGAAACATCACAAGTTAGCCACTAGATTTATCCAAAGATTCAAATCAAGACATGTCGCAGTTGAGTTTCTGTTGTTTTGCAAAATCAATGCGTTACCACCTTGCTGTCTCTAGCCAGGTATTTGATCAATGGGGAAAAAAAAAACGAATTTTACCATTAGATAAATCCAATGGACAACATTGATTAATGAACCCTGCAGTTTCTTTGTTTTCTTTTTTCAAAAATCAAAAAAAGAAAAGAAAAGAAAAGAAAACAGTCCGCTTCATCTTCATGTGCATTTCTTCGAAAGGCACAGTGGTGGAGCGACGTTTCAATTTGGCTAAAATTACAAGTATGTGATGGAAGATTTAATATTTTACACAATCACGCCTTATATCTTTATATTTTTACACTTTCATTCTCAACTAATTATTTGAGATCACTCAAGTCTTGATTAAAACTTAAATATATTAATTACAAATTTTCCAAATAACAATTTGGTTCGAGCATGATGAATTTTAACACAAAATATTAAACTCTTACCATACATGAGACAACCTTCATAAAAAAAAATCATTATTTACCTTTTAATTACAAAATCAAATCCAAATTTTTCACAATGATTTTTTCATTATTTACTTGTTATTTCTTGCTGAAAAATATAATTTTAAAACATGAAATCACAAAATACTAATTTTTTTATGATTATTTTTCACCTCTATTATTGTAATGTATATAATTATTTTTCAATTATTACATATTTATTTTTATAATATTAATATTTTTAAATTAAACTATATTCCTAAACTAAGATACTGGCTCCGCCCTTGATTGTCTGTAACTTTGTCGGTTCAAACTTTGCTGATGAATGAATCAGAATCACAATACAGTCACTGTCCCCATACACTATATAAAAAAAAGAGAGAGATTTGGGGTGGGGGGGGGGGGGGAGAGGCATTGCAGCAGAATCCACAACTTAAAAAAGGAGATTCCAAGTAACATGGAAACTAAAAAGTAAAACCCAGTTTACTTAACAGGCGCAATGAAACATAGAATATCATTTTAAGGACACTACAAAAATATGCATTATTTCATGAATTATGAAAGAAGCTGGTGGAAGGCTTGGAGAAGCGGTCAAGCTAATTTCTGATGCCCCTGATGAATCAAGAGCAATAATTCCCTATGTACCAAACTCTCCAGTTTCGACTGTGGAGCAGAAGTTAGGAAGAGTCAATCTTAAAAGAAGCCCTTTGCCTATCAATTCTCCACCAAGCACTAAACGTAAAAAGACGAGCCAAGAGAACAGTACCCATAAGCTGCTGGTTGTCGAGGGAAGCAAAGCACCTCCAAAGAAGAGAAATGTTAGGCGTCTCAAGCACCAGTTATGTCGTAAGTTAGCTTTTCCTCTTGATTCTATTTCTGCAATGGAATTTAGTAACCCAAATTGTGAAGCTGATGGGGTCAATTTCGTCTTTACTTCTCAAATCTCTTCTGATGGCAAGGGTGGCCAGCTAGGAGCCATGAAGTTAATTTCTTGGAACTGTCAGGGCATTGGGGTAGCCCTGACAGTAAAAAACCTGGAGGTGTGTAGGAGGAAGAAACCCCGTGTTGCGTTTTTAATGGAAACAAAACAGAAAGGAAAAGTAGTGAGGAAATTAAGGAGATGTGGTCTTGATGAAGATTGGATAGCGAATCCGGAGGGCTTGAGTGGTGGATTGGCTTTATGGTGGGCCAATACGGTTGATGTAGAAATTCTTTTCTCATCTAAAAATATTATTCATACTGCGGTCCACTCCTCTGCAATTCCCGTTCCTAAATTTATAACCTTTGTTTATGGCCCCCCCAAAGAACAGGATAGGAGGAAAATATGGTCACAGATTGTTGATATCTCTAAATATGTTTCAGGAGAATGGTTGTGTGTTAGTGATTATAATGATTTTACTTGTCAAACTGAGAAATGGGGAGGTAAACCAAGAGCCATGAGGAAGATTCTGAACTTCCAAAAGTTTATCTCTGATTGTTGCCCACTTGATCTGGGTTTTAATGGTTCACAGTTTACGTGGTGTAAGAAGCGCATTCATAGAGCTCATATCAAAGAAAGAATTGATAGAGCCCTAGCTAATGTTGAACTCCGAGAGGGATTTCCAAGAGCTCAGGTTTTTCATATGGAACCGGTTGGATCTGATCATCATATTTTGTTTGTGGATTTATGTCATACCAATGTTAAAGCCCCTCATGGTTTTAAATTTAAGATTTGCTGGTTTGAACACCCTCAATATAAGGAAGTTATGAATGAAGCCTGAAATGCAACACCTCACATAGCTGAGAATAAAGTTGATGAATTTTGTATGAGACTGAACAGTTGTAAAAGGGCTTTGATTTGTTGGAGCAACAAGGTTTTTCCAAATAGCAGGAAATTGATAGACCAACTGAATCTAAAATTGGCTAATTGTCTGGAAGGTAATCTTATTGAGGGAAAATTGTTAGAAGCTGAACGAATCACTATTGAGATGGAAAAGGCTTGGGATAGGGAAGAATCTTATTGGTGGCAGCGGTCTAGAGTGTCTTGACTCCGAGCAGGTGATCGCAACTCAAGATTCTTTCACGTTGCTACCATCCAAAGAAGAATGAACTCTATCCTTAAACTCGAGAAAGAGGATGGTAGTTGGGTTGAGGAGGAAGAAGAGATTGCAAGTTGCATTTTTTAGTATTCCATGAGCTTTTTACCGCTTCACAGCCCCAAAATTTTGACCAAGTACTAGCCTATGTTGATTGCAAGATTGATGAGCGGTGTAACAATTTATTACTTGCCCCGGTAACTGAATGTGAGATTAAAACAACAGCTTTCCAGCTAGGGGGTACCAAAGCACCAAGACCGGATGGTTTTTGTGGTAGATTCTATCAGCATTCTTGGGATGTGGTGGCAGAAACGATTACTAATATGGTATAAGAGAATTCTTTCAAGGAAGTGGTGACATTAGTATATTGAATGAGACTGATCTAGTCATGATTCCCAAGGTCGAAAAGGCAGAGATGGTAAGTCAATTGCGACCCATTAGGCTTTGCAACTTTTCTTACAAGATTATTTCCAAGATTCTTGCAAATAGACTCAAACCACTATTTGATCAGTGCATCTCAGCTAATCAAAGCGCCTTTGTTCCAGGTAGGCAAATACATGACAACATAATTATAGCTCATGAAGTATTCCATTATCTTAAAAGGAAACACACGGGGGGCAAATATGAATTTGCCTTAAAGATGGATATGAGCAAGGCCTATGACAGAATTAAATGGGACATTTTACGGGCTACTATGTTGAAGTTGGGCTTCTGTGTTACTTGGGTAAACTTAATTATGAATTGTGTTTCAGGAAGGAAGTTGGCAGCTTTGACTCCGGGCAGAAGCCTGAGACAAGGGGATCCTCTTTCCCCATATCTATATATTTTTGTAGTTGAGGTCTTGTCAAGCAGCGTTAATAAAAGCATTGATAGTGGAGCTCTAAAAAGGGTTAAACCTTCAAAATCCTGCCCAATCCTATCCGATACATTTTTTGCAGATGATGCCCTCTTCTTCATGAACGCGAATGTTGATAACTGCAAAACATTATCTCACATTCTGAACTAATATTGCACAGCCTCAGGACAGCAGGCTAACCTCCAAAAATTTGAGTTGATTTTTTTTCTAGAAATACACCTGAGGAGACTAGATTGGCAGTCAGTAAAATCTTGAGTATCCCTGGTGCTGATGACCCTGGAGAGTATTTGGGAATCCCCAATGTTTGGGAGAAATCTAAGTAATAGGCATTGGTTTATGTCTAAGAATGGGTTGCCAAGAAGGTACAAGGTTGGCAAAGAAACCTTTTATCCTTTGCAGGAAGAGAAGTCATGATAAAATCAATGGTCAATGCCATTCCTATGTACCTAATGAGTTGCTTCAAGTTCCCTTAAAAAATCTGTAAGGACCTTGATCGACTCATCTAATTTTTGGTAGGATGGCAGAGGAAAAGGCAGGGGTATTCATTGGTGTGCTTGGGGTAATTTGATCAAGCCAAAGAAGGATGGGGGAATGGGCTTTCGGGACTTTGAGATTCTCAATGACTCCTTGTTAGCCAAAACTACATGGCAGTTACTCTAGGACCCAGAGGCACTCTGGTGCAAAGTAATAAAAAGCATTTACTACCCACATGACTCCTTTACGATTGCTGAATGAGGTTACAAAGCCCCCTAGATTTGGTCTCGCCTCCTAATTGGAAGAGAGTTGCTGAAGAAAGATTAATGTTGGATGGTCAGCAACAAAGAGTCTATCAATGTTTGGAAAGACAACTGGATTCCAAATCTGAAAAAATGTTACCTTACAAGAACTTATGCAGGTAGATTTTGTCCCTAATATCACTGTAGATACTTTAATTTATAATGGCTTGTGGGATTTATCATTACTACCTCAACCTATTCCTGAAGAGGTGATCATGTCAATTAGAGATATGAAACTTGATAATCTCTCCCGTGTGGACAAATTAGTTTGGATTGGCGCTAAAACTGGTAAATGTACTGTGAAAGCTGGATACATGATAGAGCTTAGCACAAGAAAGCTCTCTTGTAGACCTAGCACATCTTTAAGTCTTAATTATGATTTCTAGACTAAAATTTGGAAAGTTAAAACCCTTCCTAGAATCCAATATTTTATTTGGCGAATCTGCTCTAAAGTTGTTCCCACTAATGATATGCTGTTTCGCAGACACTGGGCCACTATACCATTATGTCCAATTTGTTTTGGTGAGCCTGAAACATTAGAGCATTTTTTCTTCTTCTATCCATGGGTTAGATGTATTTAGTTTGGCTGTCAACTATCTCTCAGAATTGATAGACGAGATATCACATCCTTTGAAGCATGGTTCTCTGAAGTGTTAGCTAATAGATTTGATAGTGCTAATGCTTTGATATCTATGCTGGTCTGGCTTTTATGGCTCATTTGGAAGGAAAGAAATGAAGTTGTGTTCAATTATAGAGATCCGAATCCTACTTTTATCCTCACTAGAGCAAGAATTAGGGTGAAGGACTTCTAGACAGCTTGGCAAAGTGAAGAACCTGTTAATGATACAACCACTAGTGTTCACAGTCACCACCGGCGAGCCCTACCTGCTGGTGTTGTTAAGATAAATTGTGATGCCTCCTTCAGGGCTGTTGATGCCTCTTCTAATATTGGGTTGATTTGCAGAGACAGTACTGGTAAGTTCTTGCGGGCTTTTGGGAAAAATACCATCTCTAGTTCAGCTTCCTTGACTGAATTATTAGCTGTTCGTAAAGCTCTCCTGTTGATTGAGGAACTTAATTCTAGAGCTGTTATTGTTGAAACCAATAATGCTGATTTATATGCTTGTTAACAAACTGCTTCTACTGATAGATGCGAATGGCACAGTTACTATATCCTCCAAGATGTCTTGGATTTGGCTGCATCATGCGTTGGTGTCTCTTTCCCTTTTACTAAAAGGGAAGGTAATTTTGCTGCTGATCATATCACAGTTTCTATTCACAAGAAGGTGTTCCCTGCGCGGTGGGTGGACTCACCAACACTTTCTCTTGATGTCATTTTAGCTCGTGATGTTGCTGAATCAAACTCATCTTTAGGGTCGTCTATTAGGGACTCATGGAAGCGAGAAAGTATTGGCTGATGGCCCTCTATGGACTATTTAGTTTTCGCTTGTTTTGACTATATTTTTGCTTCTGCTGTTATTTTCATGTATTGCTGTTGTGAACTAAGCTTTATTGCTTTGCATTGTTGCGTTTCATTCCAGTTATTATAAAAATATCCTTCAGGTAAAAAAAAAAAAAAAAAGTACACAAATATCCACCAACTTTTACTTCAAGAACTTTTATTATCCTTTAAATCAACTATAATACATGAATACCCATTAACTTTACAAAAGAAACCAACATTTCCCAATCCGTTCAGTTGTATCCATAGAACTTAACTGGAACCATAGAAGTTAACAAGATCTTAATGGTCAACATCAAGCTATTTTAACAATTAAGGACTACAAAATATGCATTATTCCTTCTAGTTTTATTCATAAACCACTTCTAACATTTTTACTAGAATTAAAAAAAATCTTAAACTTCATTAACTCTGTCCAAAAATTCAATAAGTTTCTAACATCACTCCTATTAAATATACATACTATAAAAGAAAAACACAATCATCAATCCATATAGTTTGATCAACTTTTTCTATCAATCCTTGTAATTTGTTTTCAGTGTTTTCAATTCCTATAAATCCCTGTAATTTAACATCATTAAGGACCAAAGAAACAAACGCCACCCTGTCTTGCTAAAATGAAACTATAAGAAATGAAAACACTGAAAAAAGTAATAAGAATTAAAAGCAAAACCTAATGAAACTATAGAAACTAATGATTGCGTTTTCCCTACTTCAAAAATACTATAGCATTTAATGACCTTCTAAACATTTAATAGGAGCAAGAGTGATGAACACAATAATCATTGAGGTACCTATAAATAAGATTAAAATAAATAATCTCTCTCTCTACCTCATAAATAAGATGAGAGGAATATTTCATTAGCAATTTCAAGTGTTGTAACATTTGATTTTAACCTGTATCAAACAGGCTTCGTCTCCATTGGAACTGATGCTTTAAAGACTTTCAACAAAATTAGAATGTGATCAGTCCACTCAATCCATATAACCAACATAAATAACAGTACAACAAAATACAAGTCAAGAGGTACCTGTTTGGATGCCATGAATTTCACTACAGATGCTCTTCCCCTTATACCATGCAACACAACTAACTTAAATTTGAGCAAGAACAGAATTGCAAAACTTCTCAATTTGTCATAAAGTTGGTGGGGAAAAAAATATCCATGCTATTTCTTTTCGGCAACGCATATCCAAGCATGCATCAGCTAAATGGAACTTCTGTTCCTGATCTGTTGCAAGGACAGAATGCGTTAGACAAAAATATTTGCTTGTTTCGAACCAAGATTTTATTAATTATCCAAAAAAGAAAATTATTCTTGGCAGACTTCTAAGCCAGGTGTCTCCATGCATTTTGTTAAGCTTTATCAACACTAGTTGATTATTTTTTAAATAAAGACCAACGAGCCAACAGTTGACATGGGAAACAGTCTGAATCATACATCAACATGCACATGCGCAAAAATTTCAACAAGTAAAACCCTTGATGGTGAATGATGTCTCTTGTCAAGCAACCTTCAAAACTTGTATATGATACTTAAAGCCTTGAATCACTGTCTTTCACCCAATAGACTAATCTTTTAGAATGAGTTATTGGCTCAAGTTGAGTCAATAGATATCAAAGCTTTCCATGGTCATCCCAACACCAGCTAAGAAGCTGGTAAATGGCCAGCTTGTGTGGGCACTGGGGCTGCAGGCGCAGAGCTTGTGAGAATGTCAGAACTCAAGGTCCAAGTCATATTACTGGGACCAGATAGTGTCTGAACTGAACTTAGATAATGCAATTTAATGGACCTTAATCAGGAAAACTAATTTGACCAATGCCCCAAGAATTAAAGCTTCAAAAATAAAAAGTTGTAGAAGAGTGGGCACAGGTTATTAGCTTGGCACTATATATATATATATATATATAAATGAAAAAAGGCTTACACATGCAGACAATCATTTCTGGCAGACACAAAAGAAACATAATACCTTAAAGCAAAGGAGGAGGAAATAGAGCAGAAAGAGAAGCACCTCTTCAATTCCTTTCAGTTGTACAACAGCATAAACATTAATTCTTTAGCTTGGCTTCCATAACCGCAAAAAGAACAAAGAGAGAAGAAATAGTGATTTGGAATGAAAAAGTTTATTTTCGGTTTGGAATGATTAAAATTAGGTATGGATGTAAAACATGTAAGATACAATTAGAAAAGAACAAGTTAAGGATTAACACATACCTAATCTGGGAGACTGAGTAGAGAGAAGAGAAAACAAAACTTGTTGGATTATATAAGTGTTTGGAAGACTAATTATAAGATTATAGCATCAAGAACATATATAAAAAAATGCTTTTCTTCCTAAGGCAAAATTAAGGCCTACATGGGTAAAAATATAATAAAAAATGGGAGGTATAAAAAACTAAAATGAATTCAGACATTAAGCATCCATTCATCTGTTATGAAGGCCTTAAAATTCTTATTTCCTAGAAAATGGAAATCACTATTAAGGAAAAAAAGTGCTTTTGTAACACTGATCAATTCAAATCTTAACCGCTATAAACTTAGGAGACGATAAAGATCCTCAAACCTTGTCAGTCATGACCACATTTGGCGGCACCATGCCTTCCTGTGATCATCTCTAACAAAATCCATCAACCAAAAGAACCCTGGCATTTTGATGATCCACAAAAGCATTTCTTTTTCCATCTGGGTGCACTGTGACCCACAGTAGAATCAGAACGGGTGATCCCATAATCATATGTCAATTCTGTCAGTGGAGGAATGTGTTTAAGGGCAAAGAAAGAAATATGGACAATGGGTTGATTGTTTTCTTCATATAAAACTGGCTGCCAAAAGACATTTGGGGAGCAACTATGATTCATGAACCTAGCCACATTTCCAACATTCTTGGCACTAATAATTAGAGGAGATGGAATGTTGTAATCCTCACTAGAATCATCTGAACTAGATTCTTCGAGTAACTTAGGTTCATAGTTCCACTTGAATGGATGATAACTTCGAGTTGTGTCAAACACATACTCATCATTATTGCTATTCCAACTTACCTTGGCTCTGTCAATAACCTCTCCGGCATACTCACAAATGAAGGTACCTGCACGAATGGGATCCAATGATCGAAGACCCCATCCTTTATCCTTTGTCTTGAACACTTCCATATGGTACTTTAAACCATTTTGGGATACACGATCTTTGCAGTTAGGAAAACATTGACATGAAGGGCCACATTCATGAACCAATTTCTTCCGACTCACTAGAATTCCATTCCCTGTGTATGGAAAATCACCTTCATTTCTCTGAATACAAGAGCAGTTCAAATCACCAGGACTGCAATCTTTTTGACAGTTGCAATAATCAGAAGGATGTGAAACCATGAAGGATTTTGAATATCTAAGAGAATGGAGATAAGTGAAATAACCAGGTGCTTTCTCATCATCAACATCATTGACAAGCGACACAGGAATTTTCTCAGCACCCGAGGAGAGGTCTGCAAGAATGAGCCCAGTCCTAGAAGTGATGCCAGCTTTCCACTTTTCAATAGATTTCCAAGCAGCAAACGCCCTGGGCTGCCCTGGCACTCTCACAAACTTGTACTTGAATACACCACCACCAGATTTCCCCTTTTCTATCCATGAATCCTGGATTTTATACAGCCCATCATAAATATAGACCTTTGAAGTTGAATTCATTTGATCCTTTATGCCCCGTATTACTCTGACAACGTTCTTCTGTCGCAAGCTTCTATCCAGAGCAAGATTACCCCTTTCTAGTTTCTGATCATCCCCCTTATCCCCACCCTGACCACTATAGATCAAAATATCACTATCCTCTGCATTGTCATCATATTTTCCAGATGAAACAATGGCTAAAGCCACAGGTTCAGACTCATTCTTACCACCAACATTTGTGTAGTCAATCCCACCCATAGACTGACTATGCAGACCCACAATACATAATTCTAGTCGGAAAAAGAAAATATCCCCAATCTCAACCCCAGGCACAACTCCTATTCTTTTCCTCATGTTTGTTCGAATCCCTGCACTCATCAAAATGTTGCCAGCTCTCATATCCGCTCGCTTGCTCAATCCTAGTGTCAATTCCTTGGAATCCTCAAGCTGGCTGATCCTTCTCCTAAGCGCATCAAATGTCATAAGTATAAGATTAACCAATTCCCGACTACCATCTTCACGTTCATTTTTGCTAATGCCAAATAAAGAACTCGCATCAATTTGCAGATCTTGACTTATCTTAGGCTTCTTTTTGGAGGATCTGGATTTGTTTGGTGCTGCACGATCATGGCTATCAGTATATTCTCCATTGGATGCTCCAGGAAACTCAGCCGCGATTGCTTCTCCAGTATCAGAGCTTCTAAAAGACCGTATTGGAGTTGGCATGGGAACCTTAGGAGGCGATGCTTGAGGTCCTTGGGATGCACCAAATGGGAAAAAGGAATAAAACCCAGTGGAACAGGCGCCATCGAAGGTAGCAGCCTGAGCTGAATTTGGGAACAAAGGTTCCAAAGTGCGCAAAGGTTTAACATCTAAAACCTTTGACTTATCCATGGATCCAGAAGGAAGATTTGAGTTTTGACCTGACCCTCCTTGCATTACAGACCCTTGAATCAAAACCAAGTTTCGCAAAGAACAATCCCTAATTCTTTTCTCCCCCCCCCCCCCTCCTCTTTCCCTCAATCAGAAGTGGGATCCGCTGCTCATTATTTAGATAAAAAATCGGAAGAAACAAATATTGAATCCAAAAAGTGCAAATGAATCATTCATTCTACAAGACGATATTTGAAACAAGACTTGACTGAAGGCAAACCCAAATCGAAAATGATATCCAACAAGAGTTATCCAATAAAAGTAGATGGACTTACGATTTGCCCCGAATCTGTTGGCGAAACTTACCAAATAAGTGTAATAATAACGCAGCAATTTACAACAGCTGAGAAATTAAACCTGAAGAATCGCAGGATTTCCAACAGTGAAATGGAGATGGAAGATGCAGCGTCAAAGACAGTATTGGGTTCGGCCGCATCATAACTTTATGCATTGTGTTGCGTTGTACTGTGCTGTATGGGGGTCTTCCTTTACTATGTGCGATGTCGTCAGAATGTGTTCCATGGACTTTGACGCTGGGGGGTCCATGTGATCTAAAAATAAAAAGGAGGGAAGAAAAATTCTGAGATATTTTGTTTTTAAAAAAGACAACTTTTAGTCACCTAAAAAATTTTGTTATTGGAGGCAAAACTTATGTAAATAAATATTAATATTTTTAAAATACAATTATTTATTTAAATAATAAAAAATAAAATCATTAAAATTAAATACATAAAAAAACCTATAAAATTATAACAACTTAAAAAAAGTAAATTTATCTTAATATAAACAAAATTTGTGTTGAAAATGATAGAATAAGTAGTAAATATTAATATCATTTGTTAATATTCAGTTTTGATGAAAATAATCATACTCTTTTAAAATAAATATTTTCAATACAAACAATTAAAGAATCTGACATTATTATTGTTTACAAAATAAAAATTAATATTTTATTTGAGAAGTTGAAAAAATATTTTATTATAATTTTATTTAGTCAAAATATACAAATTTTTTTTTAAATTTTGAGACAATAAAACTCCCCTCACTTTTAAAAATTTAAAAATTAAGTACCATAACCTCTCTTTTTTTTTAATCACAAACTCCATACTATTATTTCTTGACTATTTTACTAACAAAAGTTGTCATTCATATTAAAAAAAAGATATATAATAATAACTTATAAAACTTTTATCTATATTTTTCTATTATTATAGATGCATGCCTGTCTCATTTCAAGGGAAGGATAAATTTTTATTTATATGATTCTTTCTTGAGTTGTATTAAAAATAATTAAATATTTTTTCAATGTTAGGTGCCATATGTATATCTCATTAATTTGACGTGGCAAATTTTGTTAATAAGACAATAGAATTATTAATATTATGGGGCTTAAAAAAATTTAAAGAGGTTAATTTTAAAAGTTTAAAGGAGGGAAGAGTTATATGTAACTATATTAAAATTTAAAATAATTTTATAGATTTTAGCCTAATCCTATATATTTATATAAATAATATGAACTAGACAATTTCTCCTATGAACCAATCTACCACCTAAAAGTTAACAATACAAGTAACATTAATTTCATTGATTGAATGACCAAGAAAATGTTTAGGACTAAAGATTAGATTAAAAAAAAAAGGCTTAAATGATGCTTGAGGAATACTTTAGGGGGACAAGTGATAATTTTTGAAGGGGGCAGGTGATAATTTTCCCCACTATATAATTAGGAGGTGCTAATGATTTTAGTAGGGGCAGTTGCCCCCATTCCCTTCAACATAAATTCATCCCTACTTTTAGTCCTTACATTTTATTCGAGTTTTAATATAGGTCTCTATAATTTTTTTTTAGTATTCTAGATCCCTATATTTTCCTCCATTTATAACATTAGTCTCTACATTTTTAGAAGAATGTTAATATGGCACAAATAATATTAATAATACTGACATATCAATTAACACTGTTAATTTTTTGTTCACGCATCAAACTGATACTAATATGAAATTTTTTATAATAATTTTTTTTGCCTACATGTAATTTGTGTTTTTTTGCTAATTATTTAAAAAATTCATGTCAACTTTTTTTTTTCATCCGATGTAGGCTTTTTTTTAATTTTTTTCTTATTAAATAATTTCATGTTAGCATCATTTTGAAACATAAGCACAAGATTAACAGTGTTTAACACCATATGTGCCACATCATTGTTCTTTTAAAAATGTAAAAACTAATGTTGCAGATAAAGAAAAGTGTAAGGACTGGAATACTAAAAATAAAATACAAGGACCTATACTAAAACTCAAATAAAATGCAGGGATCAAAAGTAGTGTTTTTCTTTTTTCTCATAAAGTTTTGAGAAATTTTTAATGAAATAAAGTAGGGAAAAGGAATCAAATATTTTTTAAAACTAGTACATGGCCCATGCAATGCATGGGATATGAAAATTTTAAAAATAATTTAAATAAATAATGAGATTTACTTAAATTTAAAATGAGTTGTTATTAAATTAAAATAATTATTCATAAAAAATAATTAAGCCATAAATTAAATGTAGAGATACTACAAAACATGAAATTTAATAATATCACAATACATCATAACAAAAGTCATGCAACAAAGTTTAATGTCTCATTAAAGAATTAGTGTGACTTACTTTTTATCTCAATTAACTCAATCTCTGTTATTGTTATCAATCACAAAAATAAGAACCTATTTGTTCTAAAAGTAATATCTCCCCAATTGACAAATTCATATATTTAAAATATATAATGAAATTATAAAATGCATCTATAAAGATTTTGTTTTTCAATGTGTTAAGAATTTACTTCTCATTCCATCCATCCTCTCATGCTTCATCTTCTTTTCAACATTATGCTTTCCTTATTTGAGCCACTATCTAAGAAGAGTTAAAATCAATATCAAGGCAACAATAATTTTTATCAAAGAAATTGGCTTTGCTTTTGATGGAAAAGACTTAATGAGATGAAACATTTTCTCTCAAAGCATCTTGAATTGATCAGTTGGCATCAGCCATATTGAAGGAAGTAAACTTGGTAAGCTGTTGAAGAACATGCTGCTTGAGTGTCAAGGAATTTGCCTTTCTTTTGGGTATTCCATTTTCGTTCACAAATTTTGTCTTTCTACAATTCTTGCCCAATAATTCCTTTTGCAATAGCCTTATTGCAACATATAAAATGTAATAATCTCACTCCACTAAATGCATTTAATACTAGAACTCATGGTATTTAAAAGATCAATACATACAAAATGATTACTAAGCTTTTGTCTAAATTCAAGGGATTCTAAATTTTCTAAATAACAATGAGTTCAAAACAATCAAAACCTTTATATCAAAGTAAAAACAAGTATCAAAAGCATGGGATACCTCAGAGGAGTGAAAGAATTCAAAGACAGTTGAAAAACAAAACATATACTGTGATACAAGGCAATGCGCCGAAGCTTTTCATGCTGTGCCATGGTGTGTTGCTCTCTATACCAGTTGCCATGACTTAGGCATCATGCGCCGCAACATGTTGCATGAAAATTCAACTGATTTTGCTGTTATTTGATAGCAAAATCAAGGAACTTCCCATACAGCCCGATTCTCCATCCTACATCCAAATGATGTGATCAAGGTGTCTATAGAAAGCTCTTTACATGAACTAACTAATGGCATAAGTCTCACTTCCAAAACAAGTCACACTAAAAGTTGGACACCTAATCACATTTTAACCACGTTTCACAACTTTCACTCAAAATGGGTGTCCAAAACCCTCAACAAGTATCAAAAGCTTTTCCTAACACCAGGGCCATGTCTATTAGACTTAGGACTACCAGTACAACACATCACAAGTACTAAAACAACAACATAACAAAAATTCACTCCTCAACCCCATTTTACCAAAAACAGAGGGGGAGATAAATTGTCATTACTTTGCATCCAATTTAATCCAAACATGTTAAAATCATTATTTCTACAATTGTACTAGTATTTAGCCTTATAAACATATATATCTAAACATTTGCAATAACAAAATGGTGTAAGTGTTATGGCATGCATCTTAGAATTGGCATTTATATACTATTACACAAAATAAATCTTAGCCAGAGACATACAGTAGGAATATGCTAATTTTTAACCTCTTGAGACTTCTCCCTCTTTGCATCAGAGCTAGAGCTTAAAAGGTAAAACCTATCTTCTATCCTATGTAGTTATATATCAATTATAATCTAAGCACATGCATATGAAACCAAGCAATTAAAGCATACTCACACATATCATAACTTATCATTTTTCATTAATAACATCCTTGTCTCACATATACTAGATACATTGTCACCATATTCTCAGATATGTGACATGTCCCCTCATTTACACAACTTGCCACAACTCAACACGTGTTACACGCCATATATTTACTTAGGCAATGATCAACCAACCTTATATCCTCCTTATTTCTTCAAATTAAAACCATGGGCTACAACACTGAATAGGATTCTGTCCGTGTGATTGGACTATCCAAGCTCACCAATCATGAGGTGTGACCTGGCCAAAGATCACAGGACTCACTCTTGAACCACAACTTCCCCCATTCTCAAATCTCTAGGATGTCTCATCCCCTAAACTATTCTCCTTATTGAATCGGTGGAGATAGCTAGGTTCTAGTCCCTCGATAAACTGTAGGACAAAGCTTTACTTTCGTGCACTAGAGGGTAGCCTAAACACCATATAGATTTTTCTCTACTTCCAATCCCTAGGCAAACTCCCACCACTGATCATGCCATAATCAACACTCAATTATTTTCACATTTTTATTTTCATTTACTCGTATCACCATAATCACGTTAGGCTCACAACTGTGTGCTACCCAAATGCACATCAATTTCTTATCTTTCGCTTATAACACTTACACATTTTTTTCAATCACAATTACTCATTTACAACACGTCATCACAATCATCTTTCTAAAGACATATGCATGTTCATATTTGAAAACATCTTGATTTAGCATTTGCATTTCCAACCACAATAACATTATGCACATTCAATTTTCATACAGTCATTAGAATTAACACATACTTTTCACATTGAAAATTAACCCATGCATGCCACATTCACAACTAGAAATTAATTTATAATTAATTAACATATAACTACACAAAGTAGGGTTCCACCGGTTACCTTAAACCTTTATGCTAGAAATTATGCCCTAGGGCCAATCATTGTATTATGCACATTGTTATTTAATGAATTTATCTTTTGTTATCATAACAATTGTATGTTCAATATGATAACTATATCCCTGGACAAACTATAGTGATTGTCCTAAATGTCTCTGGTCGGTCATCTTTGAGGGATCATAGATGAAACAAGACTAGTATAACTTTAATTAATTATAGAGATACAAATTAAAGTCGTACGCACTTGAAAGAATGCAAGGTGCTGGATTGACCTGCTATGAGAAAGCTGCATGGTATA